TATACGTTTTAGTAAAGTTCTTGCTGTCCTATACAGTCTTACACATATATACGTTTTAGTAAAGTTCTTGCTGTCCTATACAGTCTTACACATATATACGTTTTAGTAAGGTTCTTGCTGTCCTATACAGTCTTACACATATATACGTTTTAGTAAGGTTCTTGCTGTCCTATACAGTCTTACACATATATACGTTTTAGTAAGGTTCTTGCTGTCCTATACAGTCTTACACATAGTCTTTTTATAATATCTCATCGCCGATTTTATGTTTTGGTTCGAACAGCAAAATGTTATCCTTGTGCTTTTAGACAGAGCACAGATAACCTTTTGTGTAGCTTTGTGCTAAAACATATAAAATACACCTTTACTTTTGATATGCACACCTTTTGTATGAAGGTTATTCATGTGGTCCAAGTTTTGCTTCTCTGTTTCAGGAGTCTTTCAGAAACTTCGAAATTTTTGTATCTCCCTTGGCTAAGTAAGTTATTCTTATAAGTGAGTCGCAACAACTATCAGTTGATTATCAAGTTCAGGCTTGATTGGCATGTGGCTTCACAACAACTACGAGTTGTTTATCAAGTTCAGGCTTGACTGAGATCTGGATTCACAACAACTGTCATTTGATTCTCAAGTTCAGGCTTGATTAACATGTGGATTCACCACAACTTTCAGTTGATTATCAAGGTCAGGCTTGACAGACGTGTGGCTTCACAACAACTATGAGTTAATTATCAGGTTCAGGCTTGATAGACGTGTGGCTTCACAACAACTATGAGTTAATTATCAGGTTCAGGCTTGAATGACACGTGGCTTCACAACAACTATGAGTTGATTATCAAGTTCAGGCTTGATAGACATGTGGCTTCACAACAACTATGAGTTAATTATCAAGTTCAGGCTTGAATTGGCACGTGGCTTCACAACAACTATGAGTTGATTATCAAGTTCAGGCTTGATTGGCACGTGGCTTCACAACAACTGTCAGTTGATTATCAAATTCAGGCTTGATAGACACGTGGCTTCACAACAACTATGAGTTGATTATCAAATTGAGGCTTGATAGACACGGGGCTTATACCTGCATTCTCTTGCTAATACAGTGTCTCGTTTCCAGAGGTCTATCACAAGACGTCGTTTATTTTGTGTGAAATTCAAGAGGGAAGAATATCAAACTAAACCGAAAAATACCAACGATTTTTTTAGCTAGAAGCGACAAAACATTTTTATTATGTTCAGCTGACTATAAACGAAGTAGGAAGGAAGCTCAGTGAATGAACAGAGGTAAATAAGTATTCGGAAGTTTAAAGTGCCGTCAATGTACGATGGTTAAAAAATGCAAAGAAAGGTTACTAAAACGTATATATATATATATGTATAAGACTCCATAGAACAGCAAGAACTTTATCAAAACGTATATATGTGTAAAACTACACAGGACAGCAAGAACTTTACTAAAACGTGCGTAAGACTGTATAGGACAGCAAGAACTTTACTAAAACGTGTGTAAGACTGCATAAGACAGCAAGAACTTTACTAAAACGTATATATGTGTAAGACTGCATAGGACAACAAGAACTTTACTAAAACGTATATATGTGTAAGACTGCATAGGACAGCAAGAACTTTACTAAAACGTATACATGTGTAAGACTGCATAGGACAGCAAGAACTTTACTAAAATGTGTGGAAGCTGAAACAACGAGTATGTTTGGTAGGACTGGTATTCGAACCCGCCACTCTCAGGTTACGAGTCAAGCGCCCTAACCACCTGGCCATGCCGGTCCGCATACGATGTTAATGAAGTTTTAAACCAAACATTATACCGGAAAATGAATAATTATATCATAACGCCCGCAATATGAATACTTACTTAAGTAATGCCAGTTTTGGTTGAAGTGCAAATTTTAAATAATTTTTTTGGTAGTTTTAATTTTGTAATGTCTTTTTATTTCTCTATTTTAACAACGAATAATTACTCTACTAATCCAATTGACACTATCTTAAATTCAACTCATCAGTTTACTAATTCAGTTGACCTAGGTTAAGATGATTTTACCGTCTCCAATTTTAATCACTTAATCTAGTGCACCCAAAATTTAAATGATTTTATTCTAACCCCAAAACTGTCATTGTCATAATAACGTATTTAGATGATGCATAACTCAATAGCGGTTAAGCTGCGTAATTAGTGAATAGTATTTGCTAAATTAAACAATATTAAACCATTAAATGTCACTAATCACTAATTATATTCAATTACCAGTCATCAGAACTTCCAAACTACATAACTTAACTTTTCTGGTGGCAGTCAGTGCTTGTAATGAGCTTGTAGTTAAAATAATGTTCAATGTGTTCTTGTTTTTGTTACAATATACAATGTGTTACTCTCAATAATCCAGTCTATTTTCACTTTAATTGGAGACACTCTATTGATTGTTTCTCAATTATTTATAACCCGTGTAGTTAAAATCACTATTAAGAAGAGGGTGGTATGATGCTTGGGAGATGACCAGTACTTTCCATTATTATTGTTGGTGTAAAAAAATGATTTGTATAACTTCAAGTGCTAAATTTTTAATCTTCGATTCGCTAAAAACATGACAGGAATTGTTTATTGTATTAAAATCTGCGACAGCCGATATGTTAAACATTTACGCACTGAAAATAAGTTCATCATAGTGAATATTGTCGCATTTATTTCATCTTCATGTTTGTAAAAGAAAAGGAAAAATGAAAGAAAGGGAACAATTAATTTTGCTTGACTTGCCAACTAGATGGCAGCAAAATCTTTTACGAAGAATATTTCGCTTTGAACAATGGGTACATCTTTTGTAAGGCTGTTGTGGATACGTATTCGTTCGAACGGCTTGCGCGCTTAGGAGTAAGTCGTGGTACAGTCTCGACGCGCGAGACGGATGGATGTAAGGAAAAAGTACTGTGCGTCTCACGTACGTAAGCCAAGATTACCTCGTGACATTGTGTGGAATGTTTTATTATTTTGTAACCAAGGGGACGATCAAAATTGTTAGACTTGCTTGTTTACATGCATCTTCTGTGTAGTATGGAAAAAGAGGAAACAGGATGCTCGAAAAACTTAGAAAGTAAAGAAGTAAATTTAATCTCAGCTAGGTCAAAGGTTATTTCGAAAAAAACAGAGCTCCCAACATTACAACTAGCCACCCTCAAAAATGTCTCACATGCTAGTAAGGTGACTTCTAACTGTGAAAGAGACCCCCGACTATGTTGGCTAGAGCCAGGGATAGCGATATGGTTTATATGTATCACTTCGTTCGGCCTTTCCACACTGTGGGGACTGAAGGTGTGGCTCGTGCAAGAACAGCTATCAATCTTAGAGACAGAATACAAGGAGTTAGTAAAACGTATACCGGTTTTTGAAGATATAAAATTACAGACCGATATATTAGTAAAAGAAGTAAGTTTTGTAAATATTTATATATATATTAAAAGTATTCCAAATAAACGAGTTTTTAAGAATCTAGTAACAAAATTTCAAGATGAAAAATTTAAAATATTTTTGGTGTTATCGAAGTTTTTACGTAGCTATAGAAAAGTTTTGTTTGTTTGTAGTTAAGCCCAAAGCTACATAATGGGTTATCTATGCCCACAATAGGTATCGAAATCCGTTTCTTAGCGTTATAATCTTTCAGACTTACTGTTACGCTACTAAGGTATTATATATAAATTCTAATATTTCGATTTTTGTACATTATTGGCATATATGTTCATATATAAACACATAATATTTACGTAAAATTCTAAATTTAGATTTTACTGACTTGTTGATGAAAAGACAGCAATTCAGTCGGTATGTATGGTGATTTTGTAATGAAGCAGAAATCTTATAGAAATATTGAGTATTCAATGCGAGTAGTAGCATGCTGGTTGGTGTTTAGTTTATGAAGACATAACACGCTAGAAAAATTTTGAATCAATGTTTTCAAATGCTTCAGTAGTCTTCGAAATTAATTGATCAATGGAAATATTTCTATATAAATAAGCCAATCAATGGAAAGATTTATATATAGATAAACCAACCAGTGGAAAGATTTCTCTATGAACGAAATAATCTCTCTTGGAATAAACCAATCAGTGGAAAGATTTCTCTATGAACGAAATAATCTCTCTTGGAATAAAACAACAAATGGAACGTTTGTCTTCTCTGTGAATGACTCGACCAATATAAATATTTCCGTATAGATGAACCAATTAACAGAAAAAATTCCTTATAAATGAATTACTCCGTAAAAAGATTTTTCTATGAACGAACCAATCAAGGAAAATACGTCTTAATGAATTGGATTCACTTTAAAATTACCAACTACTTTAAAGTAACTCCACAGACTCGTTATCCATTTTAAGTCAATCTTGGCAATTGGTGAACATGGAGGTTAACACTGAATCTTTATTCATACCACTGGTAGCAAACGTCAGTAAGGTCAACACTCGGAGGTCAGTGTTCCCACTGCAAATGACAGGTTCTTTACTGACTATTCTTGAGACAACACTTACTGATATGTGACAGGTTAAGATTTAAAGAAGCAAGTCGAGACTGTTTATAAAATTACTTTGTCTCTGTAGATAAGTATTAGTAGCAGTTGTAGACACTATACAGGGTCAACTACAATACGAGCACTCATCAGGAATAATTCTTTGTTAAACTATTTTTATTGCAAAGTTTCATATTTACTTCTGTATTTATTTATACGTGTCATATTTCCATTGTCCTGTAAAAGAAATGAAACTCTTTGTTTAACTAAATATATCAACTTTTCAGCGGCTGGATATTCGGTTATTAAATCAAAGGACTTGACTGGATATTTGATATCCAGTAAATGTTCGAAACTTTGTTCGTTACATCTCTAGAAAGAACTAATCAATGGAAATGTTTCTTTGCGAACGAAACAATCTATAGAGTTCTCTCTAAACGAGGGGCCGGGAGAAGCCTAGTAGTTAGCATGCCCAGATTTTAAGTCCGAGGGTTTTTGGTTCGCGTCTCGTTGCTGTTAAAACATGCTCCGTAATTTGGGGCCGTAAAAGTGTTATAAGAATATTGGACATATATCAAGATTTTTGAGAAGTTGGCAGTGGCTTCTTTCTCTCTAGTGTACCAGATATTTGCGATAGACCTTGTGCAGTTTTGCACGAAAATTGTAAAACAATCTATGGAACTCTTCGCTTTAAATGGATAAATCAATTGCAAAAGTCCCTTGTACATAAATTAATCTGTAGAACTGTTTATCATTAGTAAATCAATAATAGCTTTTAAATGAATCAATTTGTGAAAGTCCCTTGTACATAAATTAATCTGTAGAACTGTTTATCATTAGTAAATCAATAATAGCTTTTAAATGAATCAATTTGTGAAAGAGAATTAGATTAGAAAACACTGAAAGAAAACGAGAGAGAAAAAGATATTTACAAATGCACCTTTGTTGTTAAGCACAAAACTACACTATAGACTACCTGTGCTTTGCCCAACACTCGTGTTTTTAGCGTTATAAGCCAACAGACTTTCACTGGGTGGAGGAGGTGTACAGTGTAACATTTTTTCCATTTGTTGATATACAAGGAATGTTTCTATTGTTAACTGTTGCTGTTTTGTTATAATAAAACAAAACCACAAACTCAACTGAATTTAGACTCATCAAAGTGACATGCAGTCATTTCAGAAGGAAATAGCAAATGTTTTACACATTTTACGATAGACTACTTACTAGATGAAAAGTGAAGGATCTGAAAAACCCTGTCGGAAAGAAAATACTAAAATGGGATGCTGTGCACCATCTATCGGCAGTCTTCAGTTCGCATGAAAAAATTTTTCACGGCTGAGAGCCACGACGTCGTCAAAACAACAGTCGAAATTTGAGATGCTGCAGAGGTAAGAGCCAGAATTAATGTAATGTTCAAAGCGATAATCAGAATCTACAGTTGAACTGCGTAATACGAGCAAAAGCCACTATGTAATGTACTTACTCAACACCAACTGTCTCTAATTTTGAACTGAAAGACTAGACGAAGACATCATCCATTGCCAATCTTGGGCTACTCTAATCGAATATTTGGATTTGACCGTTACTTTTATAGCCTACCAGCGTCCCTCAAGTGTGGAGTGTGACGTTAGCTATGAATCGTCGGATTCACAGTCCGGTACTCTAACCTCTAAGCCACGCCTGGTCCACATTAAACGAAGTGCAAAATTGGGTGCATCAGAAAATTTGATCCTAAGAATAACTTGAACGTAATCAGTGTTATTATGGGTGTTGACTCATACAATGTTTGTTTTGAATTTCGTGCAAAGCTACACGAGGGTTATCTGCGCTAGCTGTCTCTGATTTAGGAGCAAAAGTTTAGTTTAGAGGAAAGGCAGCTAGTCAGCATCACCCTCCGCCAACACTTAGGTTATTCTTTTACCAACGAATAATGGTATTGACTGTCGCATTAAAAAGTACCCCAACGGGATTAGTAGAGTTATGAGTTGATTTCAAGATAAGGTCAACGGGATTAGTAAAGCAATGAGTTGATTTTAACCTTGGTTATACTTGAAGACTAGTGGAGTGATTTTAACCTTGTTTATATTTGATTAATAGACTGGTGAGCTGATTTGAACCTTCGTTGTATTTGATTAGTAGACTGGTGAACTGATTTGAACCTTGGTTGTATTTGATTAGTAGACTGGTGGACTGATTTTAATCTTGGTTATATTTGATTAGTAGACTGATGGACTGATTTTAACCTTGGTTGTGTTTGATTAGTAAACTGGTGAACTGGTTTTATCTTAAGCTTACTTTGATAACAGATATTATAATGAATTAATAAATATTAGTTCTCCAAGAAATTAATGACGCATTTTTAGATAAAAAACCTGAACAACTTATTTATCAAAACAAAAATATTTATTAAATGAAATGGTCTCCATTCTTATCGATGATGCTTTTCCATCTTACAATCAGGTTGTTAATACCCCTATTAAAGAAATCACTTAGCTTTCAAGCAAAAACAATGTCGATGTCTTCTTTAACACCTTCCACATTTGCATGTGTTTTCCCATTAAAATGATGTTGCAGCGAACGAAAAAGATGGTAACCTGATGGTGCCATATCTGGAGAATATGGTGAGTGGGGGAGAACGTCCCATCCCAACTTCATAATCTTATGTTGCGTCAAACGTGCCACATACGGACGTGCATTGTCGTGGAGAAAAAGAACACCTTTCAG